TTGACCATGTACAAGTTCAGGAACTTCAGAAATGGCATTGAACTGGGCATCTGGCAATTTGACTTTTCAAAGGTCAAGGTCCAAACTGAAGCTGAAGAGCAGATCTTGGCTGAATATTTATATGGAAGCCACACTTTAGGACTTTCCTACTTCAAGCCTTCAACCAACGCTTAGAATGCATTTGAGTCCAGCATTACTTTCAATAAGTGTCCTGACCACAGTTGGGAACCATTGATCCATTTATACAGCTTAGGGTTTTCATAGTATGTCTTTTATTATTTTTTGTTTAATGTGTGTTCATTTTTATTTACGTGGTACATTGCTATGAGTCAGAATCGACTCGATGGCAGTGGGTTTGGTGCGGTTTGGTTTTCTGTTTAGCATGTTTTCTTCCACTAGCCACTTCTCAGAAGGAAGATTGGGCAATCTACTTCTGTGGAGATACTGCCTCGGAACCCAAGGAGGGGTCGCTATGGGTGAGATCCAACTCCACAGCAGTGAGGTCCCCCCGCCCCTCCCGATTTCAGGTTATTTCTACTCAGATATTCCTTACATATTCCACTAGGGGGCAGTGCCTACAAACACAGACGACTTGAGCAGAAGCCCTAGGAACTTGGTTTAGCTTCCTCTTTTTTTTCCGTTAGAAGACACTACAGTAGGGCTTTGTAACAGCACTTCTGTCTTTAAGGACTCTCCATAGCAGTCATTTGAAACTGAGTGTTGGGGAAAATCCAGGCCCCAAAGTGATTTGTAATTCAGATTGCCATCCATTGTCTTCGTTCTTTCATTGCTTGAGCTGTGCACACACTTGACCCAGTGAGGAGGATGATTCCTTCAGGCCTATCCTAGACTACATCTGTTTTCCTCAGACTCTTAGCTTTGACTCCAAGTTAGTAATAATTAACTAATTAAAACACAAGATCTGTGAAACCCCTGGACCTTCAAACTAAAACACTAATAGTAATGATAACCTCTGCCTATCTCATTTCCCTGCCTTCCCCTCAGAGGTAATTGCCTAAACTTTGTGAATTTCATTATCTATTTTAAAAGTTTATCACATAGGTATATTGAAGCCTAAACAACATAATGTTTCATTTTCTTTGAGTTTGAATTTATTAAAAAAGCATATGTTGTATTCTGGGAATTGCTGTTTTGGTCTAACATTTTGTTGATTCACCAAGTTATGAGATCTGGCTGTAGCTCATCCATATTCACTGCTGAATAGTATTCCATTGTGTGAATATTTTACAGCTCATGCACCCATTCTCCTGTTGATTACATTCAACACTTGGACTATTTCTAGATTTATCCTGTTGCAAACAATGCTTCTATGAACATTCCTTTATATGTCTCCAGGGATATTAGTGCAAGAATTTCCTTGGAATTTTTCGGTTGAAGTTAAGGGAATGTGTACATTTATAAGACAGTGCCAAATTGTTTTCCCAAGCAATTGTACCATTTTTACACCCTTCCCTTATTGTTATTGTATGCCACTGAGTCAATTCCTACTCTTTGCAACCATGTCGGACAGAGTAGAATTGCCTCATAGGGTTTCCAGGGTTGTAAATCTTTATGGCGGACTGCCTCATCTTTCTCCTGCAGAACAGCTGGTGGGTTTGAACTGCCGACCTTTTGGTTAGCAGCCCAATGCTTTAACCACACCACCACCAGAGCTCCTTACTCTTCCCTTGTTGTTGTTGTTATGTGCCATCGAGTTGGACCCAACTCATAGTGACCCTTCCTTGGGTTGCTGAGGTGGTATCACTACGGAAGTAGATTGCCCAACCTTCCTTCTGAGGAGTGGCTGGTGGGTTTGCACTGCCAGCCTTCTGATTAGCAGTCAAGTGCCTTAGGTACTATGCTACCAGAGCTCCTTAATAGGGTATAAAAGATCTCCTCTAATACTTGGTTCCATCAGAATTAATTGTTGCCATTTAAAGAGTGTAAATTGGTATCTTAGGTCGTCTTCATTTGCATTTCCCTGATTACTAGTGACCACTTTTGATGCCCAAACTGATTACTGTTTATAAAAATTAAATTCTTGAACTTCTGCATTTCCTTTCCATTCTAGCATAGACTCATCTATGCAAATCTGCTTACAGTGATTTGCACACGCATCCTTGCATTCTCTTCCCCCAACCACTGATCTTTTGTGTATCACCTGCCCTACTTCAAGATGTACTCGTATTTCAAACCATACCCCTCTCCTCGAATAAAGTCACTTCTAGACTTACCTCTTCCACAGTAGCTGTCCTGGTACACATCAGTGAACTTCCTTTACTGCATCACTGAGTCCTGACGGCCTCTCATACTCCACTGATCAGAGTATAAACTGGTGGTACAAGGCACTTAGGAACATGTGTGAAAGGTTGGAGGTTTGAGTCCACACAGAGGTCCCTGGGAAACTACTGTGAAAAAATCAGTCATTGAAATGAAAGCATGGAGGAGCACAATTCTGCTTAAAACCCATGAGGTTGTCATGAGTCCTAGTCAACTTGATGACAACTGTTTTTGTTTTTTTTTAAATTTCATACATTTTGACCTGGTAATTATCTCTCTTGAAGGTAGTGACAAAGTACTAGCTCAATTAAAATGGTTTTCAGGTGGAGTGGCTGGTGGGTTCCAACCTCAGACCTTTCGGTTAGCAGCTCAGTGCTTAACAAAAGCTGGACCACCAGGGCTCCTTTGTTTAGGCGTATGTCTATGTCCATTCATTTTATTTTCTGGGTGGGCTGGGGGCTGTTTCATCAGAGGTAGGTAGTGATTTCTCTTTCCAGCTGCCAAAGTAATAGAGTTCAGTGAGGCTCATTTGGATGTTTTTGATTGAATTAAGATGACTTTCTAGGACTGGACACTCACAGGACTTCAGTTTGGGAGGAAAAGGAAAGATCTCACCCCCCATCCACTGTTAAAGTCCTTTCTACACTCTCCTTCCTGCAAGTGCTGGCCGAGCCTCAGCTTGAACACCTCCAGGAGGGAGACATTATTGCTGTGGGAGCTGGCTCACTGGCTGTGAGAAAGTTATTTATTTTGAAAGGTGTTTTGGTTACCTAGTGTCGCTCTGACAAGAATATACCACAAATGGGATGGCTTGAACTGTTTATTCTCTTATAATTTTGGAGGCTTTAAGTCCGAGTTCAAAGTGCCAGGCTCTAGGGGCTGGGTAAAAGCCCCTCAACCTTGAGCTTCAGCCCTGCCTCCTGCTCCTGGCCCACTGAAGCTGGAGGCTTTTCTTCACTCAGACACTGCTGGCTGCTGAGGCTGATAAGCCCAAGATTGACAAGTAAGATGGCACAGTCACAGTGTTACCAAACAACATGGCAGGCCATTGATTCAAGTCCACTGATAGTCCCAAGATTCACAGGGCATGCCAGGCTATTGAACAACGACTTGGCTACATGCAGGGTTCAAGCATGCCATAAGCTAAAGACCATTCCAAAGCTGCTTCTTATATACAGGAAGCAGACCACAGCCCTAAAGCAGTTACTCAGCTGCTTGTGGTAGATCCCACCATGGAGCTGATTGCCAGTCTTGTCATCGAAATAACTACCACCAGCTGCCCAGCTGCTCAACTAGGCCGGGCCAAGTTGACACACAACCTTAACTACCACAAAAGGAAATCTATTTCTTTGTAGTTTTCACACATTGGGTAGTTTGACCCCTGAGGGCCCAAAGACGAGTCTCATGATATCCACTCCATGTGATAGCCTTTCAGGTGGCTGAAGACAATCGCTTCTTCCCTAGAAGTTGGCATTCATTCATCCAATGGTTATTTATTGAATGTCCACCCTGTGGGTGCTGTGCAAGGTGCCGGGGGGAACAGTTGAAAAGACAGTCCTTGCCTTCTTGATGCTCACAGTTGAGTGTCTGGGGTCAGGCACTGATGGCTGAGTTGTGCAGGCAGGAGGTTTTTTTTTTCCACAGGGGAGCACTTGGAATACCAACTGGGAGATGGGAGAGAAGGGAAGGGCAGAGGGGGCCAGCTGAACTGCCTACAGTGGCAATAGAGGCTCTGCTGATTCTAAGTGGAGCTCTGGGGCTGGGCTGACTGTTCAGCGTTGTCTCACCTTGGGTAGGGAGGTAAGACCTTGATACCTCCTCATTGTCCAGTCCTTGGATGTAGATAGTCGTGCTCGCCACCCCACTGTGTGGGGTGTGACTGGGGGGGCCAGCTTTCTCCCATGGGGATATTCCTGGAGAGGGACTGCACTGGGAGCTATCAACCACCAGCACTCCCCTTGGTTGGGGGAATCAGTGTCGTGAATGGGGAGTCTGAGCGGCAGACTACACATCCACTATGCATGGGGAGATGGACATACCACACATTAGAATATAATGAGTCCATTATTTGAATAGCTGTGTATAAAGGGCAATGGGAGCATAGACAACACCCAAGCCAGGACAAGCTTCTCAAAGGAGGGGACATTTTACTGGGACCTAGAGTTCTGTAGGAATGTCTTCCCTGGAAGTCAAGGGTGTGGCAGAAAAATAGTAGTGAGGGTGCCAGTGAGAAGCCTTTGTCAGTAGAATCGACAGCTCTTGCTGATTGCTGGGCACCAGAGGGAGGAGCAAGGAGACACCCTGGTTTCTGGTCTGGATCCCTTGGTGAATGTTGTACCATTTACCAGGTGGAGAATCTGGGAGGAAAAGGATGAGTTCAGCTTGAGGACATGGCAGTCCACTGTGAAGTTGTGGCTAGAGAGAGAAGATTAAATGGAAGAGTGTGGGACAGAAGTTAGGCGTGACTAGCCTAGTGGTCATTTCCAGCCCTAGAGCTTCATAAACCATTCCCCTCAACGATTCACCTTGCTCCAAGATTTGGCTCTTTGGAATCAGAACTGAATATGCTTCCCCTTTTATCTTATCCTTACCTACCTGTGGTTTGTTTTCACAGATGTCACACTGCACCTGGCTCAGGTGAGCTCTCCTCAAGGTGGGGTCATGCAATGCTACAGGTGGGCCAGGCAGCCAGTGGCTTGGTGATTTTGGTGTGTTCACTAATGGGCAAAGTGTTTGAGTTCCTGAGAACAACCTGCCAGTCAGTCCTGGCTACATCAGAGCCATTCCCAGCAGAACCTGTTGAGATGAAGGAAGAAGACAGCAACATGACGAGGAAGAGGGAACAGCGAAGAGAACGCTTCAGTGCCTGGGGCCACTCTCACGGTTATTACATCCTGTCCATTTTTCTCTCTTGACTGCTTTGTTCACCCACTATGCTCTGAAGCAGTGTAGCTTTGTGGTTAGTGGCTCTTAATCTATTGCATCTCTGTTTTTCAACCTGTAAAATGGGGATAATAAAAGTACCTAACACATGGGGTTACTGAGAAGATTAAATAAGATAATCTGTGGAAAATAAGCCATATAGTAGTACCCAGCTACCTGTGCACTAGTCTATCTATAAGCAAGGTGCTCCTGCCCACTCAGGAGCAGAAATCCATGTTCACCTGCTCTCCTGGGATTTTTCTATTCTTACTGCTCTTCTCACTCATATCACTGAGATTAGTGGTATTCTCTCCCTCTTAAATTGCTCACCCTGTGGGGTCTTCTGAGCCCAAGGTTGGGCAGGGAAGGAGGTGATTGGTTGATAGTGGGTCAGAGAAACATTGTATTTTGGTTTTCTCATACCCTCATAAGTCCCTCTTGGCTTCTAGCCTCAAACAGTGAGTTTAAATTAACTGGGATCTTCCCCAAACCTTTCTTCTGTTTGTCTTCATCTATGTGAAGTCCCTGGGTGGTGGAAACGGTTAGGTGCTCAGCTGCTAATCAAAAGGTTGGCAGTTCAAATTCATCCAGAGGTGCCTCAGAAGAAGGGCCTGGCAATCTGCTTCCACAGAGTAAGCCATTGAAAATCCTGTGGAGCACAGAGTTCTACTCTGACACACATGGGGTCACCATGAGTTGGAATTGACTCAACAGCAACTGGTTATGTGGTGGGACTGGGCACAGGCACATGCAGACTAGCTTGGGAAGTTGGTCTTATCCCTGAGCCTCAGAGATGCTCATTTAGACTCAATCCTGTAGGGAACACTTTGAATGGAATGAACTCATAATTCTCCCATGTGTGCTTTCTGTAATATATATATATATATATATATATATATATATACACACACACACACACACACACACACACATATACATACATATACACATACATACATACATATACATACATATACATATATATTTTTTTTTCTGTTTGCTTTTAACAATTGCTTGTACTACTCATTTAGCAATGAATAGTATTCTTGTGACATGTCTCTTTTCCTAATGGACTATTAAGACCTTTATTGTAATTTAACCTTGCAAAGGCTCTTGCCTTATCTCTCTGCTCTAATTTGTTTATAAGCTCCTGGAAGGAATTCTTTGACCACTGACAGTAGTTAACAGATTTTCATATCTTTAGTTGATTTTAAATAAATACTTAATTTTGTTACATCCCTTAGCTAGGCCTTAAGGTACTTTTTCTTTTCCCTTTAAAGGCCTGGTTGGTTTACACAACCTTGGACAGACCTGCTGCCTTAACTCTCTGATTCAGGTGTTTGTAATGAACATGGGCTTCACCAAGATATTGAAGAGGTAAGAACTATTTTTCAGGTTGATAAACATGCATATTATTTTACATTTTCAAATATTAAGTTATTCAATATCTTGGACTTTTAGAGGTCTATAAAAAATTGCTAGAGATAAGTTCTTATTCTACACAATCCTGACTCCACATGAGAATCACCTAAAAAGTTTTAAAAGTCTGTTTTTGTCAGGCCCTACTCTCAGATATTTGGTTTTAGTTGGTCTGGGTGGGACCAGGCATTGGCAGCTTCGAAGAGGCTCCCCTAGGTGATTTTAAGGTGCAGCCAGGATTGACAGCCAGTGTTTTGGTCAAAGTTGCTGGGTGATACAAAGGGTTAACGTTCTTTGCTGCTAACTAAAATGTTGGAGGTTCAAGTCTACCCAGAGGCACCTCAGAAGAAAGGCTTAGTGACCTATTTCCAAAATATAAGCTATTGAAAACATGCAGCAAAGCTCTACTCTGACATGCATGGGGTCAGAGGAGCTGGAATTGTCTTGATGGCAGATGGATTTGGTTAAAAGGGATTTGGGACCGGGTTAATGTCAGAGAATGTGTAAGTCAATGGGGGAGGTCTGTGAGTCTCTCTATTGATTTTTCTCACACCAACTACATATATACACACACTTTCTATCAGTCATTCTTTTTTTTTTTCCCTGTGCTTTCTCCTTTTCCCACTCCATTGGCATGGGAAATTGAGAGATGCCTATAATTAATGAATCATTGCCAAAATACTTTCTAGCTCAGTGTTTACCTTTCAGTTTGGAATGCTTTAGGCTATACGTTTTGCTGCTGGGCCTAGGTGTGGTCCCAGGACCTATCATATCTTCCCTTCATTCTAGTGGGGTTGTTGGGCAGGGTAGGGAGGAGTGACGTAGCAGTCGTACTGGTCCCCCTCTCTAGTGGTTACTCTGTGCAGCCTATTCGCCAACCCACGGCTCTCAACCCTGGCCATCCATTGGAATCATCTGGGGAATGTAAAAGTTCTAATAACTGGGCCCCACTCCTGGAAATTCTGATTTAGCTCGTCTGAGGAGGGACCTGGCCTTGGGGAGTTTTAAAAGCTGCCCAGGTGATTCCAATGTGCACTTACTGTTGAGAACCATAGGTCTTAGAAGGTTTCTGGCTGTTTTTATAAATTTATTTATTTTTATTTGGGAAAACTATAACAAAAAACATTGGCATTTCAACATTTTTTTACACGTACAATTCAGTGACTTTAATTCTGTTCATCATGTTGTGTAACAATCACTGCTATCCATTTCTAATTTTTTTTCATCACCCTTAACAGAAGCTCAGTGCCTAAACAATGGCTAAGCAATGACTCCCTCTTTGACCATCCCTTCCATCCCTGGTATAATAACTGGCTGATTTTATTTGCCAGGATAACAGTGCCCAGGGGAGCGGAAGAGCAGAAGAGAAGCGTCCCCTTCCAGTTGCTTTTGCTGCTAGAGAAGATGCAGGACAGCCGGAGGGAAGCAGTACGGCCCCTGGAGCTAGTCTACTGCCTCCAGAAATACAAAGTGCCATGTAAGACTGGCCTAGCGCTCTGGGTGTGTGTGTGTGTGTGTGTGTCGGTTTGAAAGAGAGGGTGAAGGAAGCAGGGCTTGGGCAGTGAGTGAACAAGAAGGACGTTAAGTAGACTTTGGGCTTTTGTATCAGAGGATATTTGTGTAGATCTGAAAAATCTGAAGAGCCATACATTTTTACAAGGGAGCTCTGGTAGTGAAGTGCCTAAGGCATTTGACTGCTAACCAGAAGGCTGGCTGTTCTGGATACCTAGTGCTGCTCTGACAAGAAATATACCACAAATGGGATAGCCTTAACAAACAGGAGTTTATTCTTACAATTTGGAGGCTTTAAGTCCAAGTTCAAAGTGCCAGGCTCTAGGGACCTTGGGGTCCAGCTCTACCTCCTGCTCCTGGCTCACTGGAGCTAGAGGCATTTCTTCACTCAAATAGCTGCTGGCTGCTGAGGCTGGAAGCCCCAAGGTTGACAAGGAAAAAGGCACAGTCCCGATGTTACCAGACCACATGGCAGGCCATTAGCTTAAGTCCATCGTAAGTCCCAAGGTGGGCAGAGCATGACAGGCTGCTGAGCAAAGACAGGGCTACATGCAGGGTCCAAGTGTACCATAGGCTAGAGACCATTCCCAAGGCTTCTCCTTAAACACAGGAGGCAGACTACATCCCAAAGGCAGCTACTCAGCTGCTCCCAGTAGATTCCACCATGGAGTTGATGACCAATCTCATGGGGAATACTACATCCAGCTGGCCAGCCACTCAACCAGGCCCAGCCAAGTTGACACAAAAACATAACCACCACAGATGTTAAGTAGACTTTGGGTCTTTGTATTAGAGGGTATTTTTGTAGATCTGAAAAATCTGAAGAGCCATACATTTTTACAAGGCAGCTCTGGTAGTGGAGTGCCTAAGGCATTTGACTGCTAACCAGAAGGCTGGCGGTTCAAACCTACCAGCCACTCCTCAGAAGGAAGATTGGTCGATCTACTTCCCTAGTGATACCGCCTTGGAAACCCAAGGAGCTGTCACTATGAGTAGGTTCTGACTCAACAGCAGTGAGTTTTTTTTTTTTTTGGTTATGCTCTGGTAGCACGGGAGCTCTGGTAGCATAGTGCCTAAGGCGTTTGACTGCTAACCAGAAGGCTGGCGGTTCAAACCCATCAGCCACTCCTCGGAAGGAAGATGGGGCAATCTACTTCCATAGTGATACTGCCTCGGAAACCCAAGGAGGGGTCACTATGAGTCGGGGCCAACTCGACGGTACATAACAACAGCAACAACAACTGGTAGCATAGTGGATAAGGCATTTGGCTCCTAACCAGAAGGTTGGCAGTTCAGACCGACCAGCTGTTCTTTGGGAGGAAGAAGAAGCAATCTACTTCCATAAAGATATAGCCCTGGAAACCTGACGGGGGTCACTGAGTTGGAGTTGACTCAATGGCAGTGTTTTTTTTTCTTTTCTTTTTTTTTTTCCTTTGGATATGCCAGTACAAGACTGTCTGGGTAAATGTAGCTTTGTTGGAAGGTTTGAAATTAGGAAGTGCCAGCCCTCCAACTTCGTTTTTCCTTTTCAGAATTGTTTTGTGTGTTCAGGGTCGTTTGCATTTACACACAAATTTTAGATTTATATTCTCAATTACTGCAAAAAAGCCAGCTGAGATTTTGCTAGGCAGTGCACTGAACGTGTGGATCATTTTGGGGAATATGCTATCTTGATAATTTTAAGTCTTCTGAGCCATTAACGTGGGCTGTATCTCCATTTAATTAGGCCTTTGATTTCTTTCAAAAATCCTTTTATTTTTTATTCTGATTTGAGTGAAAGTTTACAGAGCAAATTCATTTTCCATACAGCAGTTCATACACATTTTGTCTCATGACACTGACTGAAATTCTCCACAATGTAACAGCTCTCTTCCCACTTCCTCCCTGTAGTTACCTTTTCCCTGTGCCCTTCCCTCACATGTACTCTCGCTCCCAAGCTGTCTCCCTGTGCAAACATTGCCCTTCTGTTCCCCCACAACTGATCACTCCAAGGAGTATATCTACCTGATGTAAATGTTCACCCCATATGCCTCTTGTTTGTCTGGAAGCCACAGAAGTGTGTTCATTTCCAGACCTGAAGGGTAACAATGGGCCATAGTCTCAGGGGTCTTACCAGGCTGTATCAGACCAGTAAATCTGGTCTTTGATTCCTCTAAAAAACTGTAGTTTTCATTGCACAATTCTAGCACTTCTTTTGTTAAATTGATTCCTAAGTCTTTTATTCTTTTTGATGCCATTGTTAATGGAATTGTTTCCTCACTTCATTGCTAGTGTATAAAAAATATATAACATGTAGAATTCAGGAGCTCTGGTAGCATAGTGCCTAAGGCACTTGACTGCTAACCAGAAGGCTGGTGGTTCAAACCCACCAGCCATTCCTTGGAAGGAAGGCTGGGCAATCTTACTTCTGTAGTGCTACTGCCTTGGAAACCCCAGGAGGGGTTGCTATAGTCAGGTCCGACTCGATGGCACATAACAACAACAACAACATGTAGAATTCATGGCTCAATGTGCCCCCTCTTAGCCAGCATCATCTTGACAGTGAGATGTTCTTTTCCCTTCTTGTTCACCCAGTCACCTTTGTGGAAAACCTGGGGGAGATATCAGCATTGGGAAACTGCTAAATTTTTAGGAAGGGGTAAATAAAGAAAGTCATGAAGGGCAGATAAATGAGTGGCAAATTGGGGTTATAATTAGAGTACTAGCTTAGATTACAGATAGTGGAAATAAATGCACTGCTTGTTATTGGTTTCATGTAGCTGGGTCCCCAACGGAGGCTAGGAGGGTTGGGTGGTAAGTGAAAGGAGAAGGAACTTGGACCATGTACTTAGAAGACATGTGGGACTGCAGCTCAGGTTTTAATAGGAGTCTTCAAACACCAATATCAAGCTTATTTTTCATTTATTGTACCTTTAACATTTAGTGGAAAGTTAGCCCTTACAGAGGGTGGAAAAGACTAAGTGATGAGTGTTCACGTGCCTCTCGGTAGCTAGAGCACAGGAGTGTGTGAAGTGTGCTTGGTGGCCGCACTAATCCAGCTGTGGCTTCTCTCTTTGGCCAGTGTTTGTCCAGCATGATGCTGCTCAACTCTACCTCACAATCTGGAACCTGATTAAGACCCAAATCACTGATGTGGACTTGGTAAGAGAATTTTAAGATGCTGCTTATTTAACTAATTGAGCTGTAGTGGTAGGGAAGACTAAAAGGTCATCAGTGTAAAATGCTTTTCACACACAGTAATATTATTACTGTTATTGTTTTGCATCTTTATGGGTAGGACAGGATCATAGTGGCTGCTATTTCAGGAGCCTCTGTGTGGTGGCTCCAACTTCTGGAAAGAGGCTGGACCTGGTTTGTGGCTGTGGTAGCTAGCTGTCTTACCTTTCCCCTCCTCTCTCTTGCAGGTGGAAAGGCTGCAGGCCCTTTATACTATCCAGATGAAGGAGTCCTTCATTTGCCTTGATTGTTCCATGGAGAATAGCAGAAACAGTAAAATGCTGACCCTTCCCCTTTCTCTTTTTGATATAGACGCAAAGCCCCTGAAAACACTGGTAAGAGTTTTCTCTTGGGGGATTTCATTCCCATGCATCCAACTCAGTGTGGCAATGCCCCCTTGCTTCTTTTAACCACCCTGTTTCTTTTTGATTCTAAAATTTTTATTGTGATTTGGGTGACAGTTTAGAGTAAATTCACTTTCTATACAGCAGCTCACGTATACTTTGTCTCATGATATTCACTGAAATTTCCCACAGTGCAACAGCTCTCCTCCCACTTCCTCCTCATAGTTACCTCTTCCCTGTGTCCTTCCCTCCCATGCACTCCTGCCCCCTGAGGTGTCTCACTGTGCATGCACAGCCCTTCTATTCTCCCATGATTGATCTCTCCAAGGAGTGTATCTACCTAATGTAAATGTTCAGTTCATATGCCTATCTTTTGTTTGTTTGGAAGCCACAGGAGTGGGTTCAATTCTAGACCTGAAGAGCAGTTAGGGGCCATAATCTCAGGGGTTCCACCAGGCTCTATCAGACCAGCAAACCTGTCCCCCCCC